GACATGGGCATCTGGTTGATGAGAAAACATGATGTAAGGACAGCATCACTCCAAAAACGCTTTGGAACATTCACATCAAGCATAATGGACCGAGCAATTTCAAGTGTCGATTCTTCCGTTCAGCCACGCAATTCTGTTGTGGGGTATAAGAACAAGAAGTTTGGTGAATTTACCCCATGGTGCTCTACGTATTGCTGAAATGGTGTTGAGGTGTATTCTTTCGCATTATCCGAGTGAAGAATTTTAATATGAACTCCAAAATGGGTATGAATTTCAGCATAAAACTTTTGAAAAATTGAGAACAATTCACTTCTGTCTTTCATAAGATAGAGCTATGTCATCCTTGAATAATCATCAACAAAAATTACAAAATACTTATAACCATTGTATGGCATTACTTTATTTGGACCCCAAACATCTGAATGGACTAAAGAGAAATGACTCAAAACACGACTATCAACTCTAGGACCAAAAGAGACTCGATGGTGTTTCCCAAGCTGACACAGCTCACAATCCAACGATGAAAGGCGACTTAAAGATGGGACCAATAACTTCAGGGCCTTGAGCGACGATACAGTGCCGTTGGAGAGGAGTAAGAGTGGACTGAAGAGCTACTTTCGAACCACCATTGTCAACATAATACAACCCACCTGCAACAAAGGGGCAGGAGATTAAAAGGTGGTAACAACTTTCTCCATTTGCTTTGCATAGGGTACACCAATGCGAGGAGATACACAAATTAGGTATTTTTTAATGTGCAATACATCCAAAGTGTTAATTTTACCATGAAAGACTTCCTAACAAAAGGACCCTAACTTGGGAGGAATAGGTTTGGACCAGATTTCTTTCACAAGACAAGGCTGAGGGGTAGGGGATGAACACAAGGAAGAGAAAAAAGAGACACAGGAGAAAATCCCTTAGGATGGGGAGTCCAAACCCAATTATCTGGTTTAGAGAGATCTAGAAGCACGGAATCAAGGATTTGTAGGAGCAAGGTTACCCTAACAAGCTAATGGTCTCTCAAATGTCTCCTTCGGCCCAAATTCCAATTAACTTCAGTCAACGAGGAGGAGGACACAAACCGGTGGACTGGTTCGTTTTTAATAACGAAGAGTGTACAAGAAGGAAAGAGATCTTTAAGGGTAGAGTTGCCTATCCAAAGGTCCTCCCAAAAGAGAACTTTATCTCCTGAGCAGACGTCATACTTGATAAGGCTAAGAAACTGAGGAAGCACTCAACAAATGGACTTCCAAGGGGAAGCCAGAGTAGCCCTCGCAGATACCCCAGCATCCCAACTATTGCCTGCACATCCTTGAATACTACCAATAACCTCTTGCCAAAGCCTCCCCTTCTCCAACAGCCATCTCCAGAGCCATTTGCCTAACAAAGAGACATTCTTCTTCCCTAAATTACCTATCCCTAAACCCCCTTGCTCTTTACTTCTGCACACTAATTCCCATTTAATCAAGTGGTCCTTCCTTCATTAGGCTCCCATTAAAAACCCCACATCAGTTTTTCTAATTTTTTCACTTCCCTCTACAGCATTTTAAAGACAATAGATAATAAATTGCAAGGCTCCTTCAGAGAACAGTTTTTGGACAATGATGAAGAAAACTTCTCTATAGATTTTGGTGTGATGGTGAAATTTAGGGTGTGATTGCCTAGGGTTATCCTCTTACATCTTCTCTTCTCTTCTCTTCTTTCTTTTAACCTGATATTTGTTTCTATTCTGCGCATCTGCAACCTCAGTTTAGTTGTAAAAATAGTACTGAAATCACAAAGATCCTGAATCATAATCCAGTTAAGGCTACGTTTGTAGCTCTCAGTAATTAAGTTTTACCCAAGGTGTATCCATCCAAGAATTCAAACATTTTCAGCCAGTATTAATGCAGTAGTAGCCTTAAGATGGTTTGCTTGTATGCATACCCGATTACCATTGAGGTCAAATTCCTTCCCAAGTGATTCCATGACCAACTGCTGCAGATACCTACTAAACAGTAGCAAGCTATCCTTGTAAGGAAGTACAACCATATCCTGTGAAAAATCAAACATAATCAATGCACCTCCATCTGTTGGGGAAACACAAAGTATGCAAACATCTCAAGCAGTATAGCAACTATGAATAGAAAGAAATGGAATACAAACCTTTGACCCCACTCCATCAGAAGCCCAATACCAGCATAAAGCAAGCAAAGCTGCAGGGTTATTCTTCACCTGAACAAATTAAAAGAAAAACAAATATGTTAGTAATGGCACAAGTCAAGCTCTAAGTTTTGTAAAAAGTGACAAAACATAAATCATACATATGACGGGATGAAAAGGGAAAAAAATAAGGAATCAGATCCAGAACATTACCACACTGGCCCTAGTTGCCTCATCCATTAGGGATGCACCAGCAAGCATTTCTTTAATATCTATTCCCTGAAGCAAAAATAATTTAAGAATAAAAATCAAAGCCAAGATATGAAAAAATAAAGTTTCTGGATACTCAATATAACAAATACATACCTGGAGTGCTGCAGGAAGTAGACCAACTGCAGACATTTCAGAGGTTCTACCACCGACCCAATCGAACATTGAAAATCTTGCTAACCACCCTTCAATCCTAGCTGTGTTATCTAACAAAGAATTTTCTTGTGTAATAGCAACGCCCTATGCATGGACATGTTGCAACAGATATATTAAAAGTCCTATATAAAATCAAGAAGATAAGTTTGTATTCCCAAAATTAAATTTAGGTGCACGAGTTCTTAATCTATGTTGATACACATCAATAGGGTTAGAATTCTTCCTGGTGATACAATTTCAAATCAGTCTATGGGAGCATAGTCAACCTTCTACATACATCATAATGGTCACCAAACTCCAGAATAGCACCAAGGGTCTAAGGAGAATGCAAGGACTGTGCAAGAGGATCATCCAGAAAATGTCTGTCGCACTTGAGAATCGGAACTGCATTTAAGGTGCATTCCCCTAGGCTTGAGACCTAACATGAGGCAAACAGCATAAGCCGTTCCTACACCTCAAAGCCAGAGGCATGCACATCAAGTGAATGGGGAAAAAGCATTTGAAAACTGCAAGATCTCTTTTAACCCCTAAGTTGTCTTGGAAGAAATAAAGTGGCTTCTTTCAATCCAAATAGAAAAATGTGTGGGAATATGCAAATATATATTAGATTCTCAAAAATTTAAGTTCATTTCACCCAAAGAAACAAGAAAAACACCAATAAAAAAATAATAAGCATTGATAGTTTTTATTACTAATAAATAATAATAATAATAATAATAATAATAATAATAATAATAATAAAAGGATATTTTCCAATTTATTTAGATTATAAAATATATTATACTGAAAAGCCTATATCAGTTACTGATGCATGAAAACAGGAAAGAGCCCATGCAGAAAGGAACCAGTTTTCTCTAGATTCCTTATTGAGTGGCAACTTTGTAATTTTTGGTATTCTTTAGTTTTTTGGAATTTATTTTCCATTATGTTGGTGTCTTAGAAATAGGGCTAATTGTTTTAAGGGGTCATATCAATTTAAAGAGCCATATTTATCTACTAAAAGACAACTTAATAAGCAACTCTGTTAAGCCAATTCAGCAGCTATCATTTATCAAATCGACCCTTGGGCTTGAAATTTGGTAATAGATAATATGATTACATCTAATTGGCAAGAAAATAAACTGAAAACTAAAATTAGAATTAGAAACTAAAAGTTATAAACCTGTTTTGAGAAATCAAGGCCAGCATCACGAAAAGCCTTCTGTACTTCCAACAGACCATTCCGAGTTTCAGGGGTACCACCACTCTGAGCAAGTTTTGAGTGCAAATTTTCATGACATATATTCAAAGCCAATAAATATATATATATATATATATGAGAGAGCAGACTGCAGAGGTTATCAAAACCTAAGCAACTTACCTTGGAAATCACTATAATAAGTGTTGAAGCCAACTCAGATCCAAGCTGTGCAATTTGATGATCAATTCCAGCTGGATCTGTATTATCAATGAATCTTATCTGCACTAAGCACAAAAAGAAATAAATAGCCATGAGGCCCATTACCCCCACCAACCAAAAGATCAAAGCAGATATGAAAAACTTAAGCTAAAGAACTCCAACAAAGAAGGTTCTTAATCCATTACAAATTAAGGGGAATTATCCTTAATGCATGAAACTACCTCTTTAGTTCTTAAGGTAAATCTAGAAAGTCAATCGACAAAATTAGCAGTGTTTCCAAGGACTCGGTTTAACAAATTGTTCAACCACTGTTACCTAAAGACCTAAAGAACATAATTTCATATCATATAACATACAATTGTAAAAAAAGAAGACAAAAAGAAATACAACTAAGAATAATAAAAAGTTTAAAACCAATAATAAAGCAAAACCTGATTCAAAATACAGTCAAAACTAACATCCACCCTCATCACCCTGCCAAGTGCCAACCACCAACCAGATTTTATAGCAACACTAACAAAGAAACAAATAGCATTTTAACAACTTATTGAAACTCATATTGTTCAGCTTTGTTTCTTATATTCATTCAAACTGCTTGTAAACAGGGGGAGGGGCCAGACAGGAAAATGATACGAGACAAAGTTTCTTTTTCGATCAGTTATAGCCAGTTAAATATGGACACACAAATCAATCATTTATTTATGACCTAGCAGCTTGTAATAAAATTTATAAGCAATTGAGAAATAAAATGTTCATTGAATATGGACAACCAGTATCAAAATGTGCCAAAATGGATGAGAAAAAACATTAGTAATGGGAAAATCAGAAATTAACATGTCCAACAGAAAACTAGATAAGTTTCCTTGGTCAAATTCAAAGGACAACTATTGAAATCATAAAAGTGAGTGCTTCAAGTAAAAAGATAAAAAAAAAGATCCTGGATACAGTAGAATATAATAAATTAATATAACTAACTCAAAATCATTGAGAAAAGTCTGACACAATAGTGGTGGTGGGTGACAGATTCTGCCAAATGTCCATAGTTTAAAGCAGCAGCTAAGTGAGAAACAGAAATCATGACCTACTGCATATGGAAAACATCTACACTAAAATAAAATCACTTGGTTAAGAATGAAACCTTTGATTAAGAGAAAGTCCATCTGTGCAAAAGAATCAAATAACTCATTCCAACAAAGAGGGTAAGAATGGTACAGCGTCTTGAAACATTTCAGGCATACCTTAAGAGGAGGATTATCTGGAGCTAAAGCCTCTGCAACAAACTGTGGTCCCAGAGCTGAGCCTCCAATCCCCACAGAAAGAACCTGAGTAAAGCGACCTGCTGGAGATGATGGGGGCTTAATCTGTTACAACAAAGAATGTTGGATGTTTGGTTAACATTTTCCAAAAAAAAACTAAAAAACAAAGAATGTCAGACATAGAATAACAGAAAGTTAGGAAATATGAACAATCCTAACCAAGGTTCAAAATATCGACATGTATCGGCCCATATCGGCCGATACGTATCGTTCCAGGACCCCTCCGGTACGCCCCTATAGTGGGTGTATCAGGGGTCTGACCGGTTTAGGGGGTGGAGGAGCCCTAAACCAGCCTCCCTGAACCGGTTTCAGAAAATAAAAATAAAAAAAAAACAGTATCGATTTGCCCGATACGCCCCTACCAGCGTATCGGGCGTATCGATATTTTGAACCTTGATCCTAACACATATTAACATTTCCCAACATGTAGTAGTGTTGTTTATAGCGACCAATAATACTTGATTACCTAACTAGGCAACTTTTTTTCTATTTATTTGCTTTAACAATGATTTTCTTTTTGAGGAAAAAGAAGTTTGTGCCATTCATTAGAGGTTCTAATTTCATATATATATATATATATATATATATATATAGAGAGAGAGAGAGAGAGAGAGAGAGAGAGAGAAATGGTAGGGGTGGTGGGTGATAAAATTAACGGCATTTTAGCCAATATTAATTCAAATGTGGCATGAATAAAAGGTAATTGTAATACCTAGCTGAAAAGCTTACATATCATGGTAAGCAATGCTATGTTTCATCCGCTGCACAATGCCAAACACCATACAAAATAAATACAGAGGGCTTCCCAGAATTCTCAATGCATGATTCCTCACATTGTATTCAAATTAAAGAAAGATCTGTTAGAGGATTGGGGTGTGTTTCATGATCTTGGAAAAGACGTTATTTTTTACTTTCTCAGAACCAGTAGGAGTTGGAAATTCAATAGAGCTTAGTTACTTACAGTTATTCAAGGATTGAGGTTGGCAAATTCATCAAAGTTCAGGGACATGCTTATTAAAGGAGATTCCAAGACTATATATAGTAGGGCGGATGAAAAGTGAAATGGAGGTCAGATTCCCGGTTCAATGTTTACAGGCAGCATATACGTAGATCCCTTGGTCTGTTAACTTTCTTGTGGATTCCCTGTCTCATGAACGGGTCGACATAGATTGCTTAGTATGGGGAGGTTATCCCTTAGCTGATTGCAAATATTATTTGTGCGGCTACCTTGGGTAGATGTGGGGGAGTAGCAATGGCCTAGCCCCATAACACTAACAGCCTGCTTGTAGATATAACGTATAGTGATACGTTGTATAGACCTTGTAGGTGTTTCTTCTTAAAGTTTCAAGTTACTGATAAAAAAAGAAGATATTAATGCGTTTAGAACATATCATCTTGCTTCTTCAGGTTTCCTTTTCTTAAGAGAGAGGAGGGATCTGCAAAGTAGCCTGTTTATTTCGCTATATTTTTGTAATAAACTTGCATATATAATGCCAATTTTGGTTAGTTACATTGCGTGACTGTTAATTACCAATAATACCATTTGCTTCTCGCAGCGGAAGCTAAAGCTAACTTTTAGTGGTCTAGAAAACGCCCTAAGTCAATCGACAAAAGAATGTCAAACGAAATAGCTCAAAGGAAGACGAAAGAAGGACCTGACCTTACCACCGATGACATCATTTGCGAACTTGCAGATAGCCTCGAGAGTGTTGTCAATCTGCGAGAGGAGAAACGAGGTAGGCGCAAGCCGAGAGTTCCGAAGCCAGTAATGACCAACCATGCGCCCCTCGTCAGGATTAGCAATTGCTCCCCTCTCAAGCTCCTCCATGGCCCTGAAAGCAGCTTGGAGCTTCGGTTCCATCTGTTCCACGAATTCGTCCGTAAATCCAATCCGACTGACATCAAGATACAGCCCCAGCTCCTTGTGTTGGTAAAGCCAATCAATGTAACGACGCCATAGAGCTACCGGATCCTTCTCCAATTCCTTTTGAACGACGTCCGGCCTCAACAAATTCGCCGGAACCTCTCGACCAATGGATTGAGTTGGCCTGAGATGAAAAGAGCGACAGGAAGACCGAGCCACGAGTTTGCAACGGTTCGGACATGAAACAGAATCATTTCTAGGAAACCTGGGAGATGGAGCAAGAGAAGATGATGCCGTCGTTGCTGTTCTCGTTGCTCTTACAATGACCTGTTCGGGCTTAAAGGTCGACGAAGAAGAAGTACAGACGCCCGAGGCGCATGCCATTGCAACAGCTAGTTGACGAAGAAAACGAGAGAGAGGGAAAGTATGAAAGAGAGAAGCCCCTCACTCCATTAATTAATTTTTGGTTTTTTCCTTTCTGGATTGAAGCTTGAAAGCTTGAGTGGTTGGTGTATTATGTGTATGAATGAACTTTATTTGAATCTCCTCCTGGATCGCGTGAGCCGTACTTGTGCGGACGACGGTGAGGAAGGCTCGCACGCATCGTTTGAGATGTCCGCCGTTGTTAGATCAACAATTACTAATATGCCCTTATGGAATATTCAGACGCCCACCCGCCTTCCGTGTCGATTTCCACGTTAATGTGTCCGCAGTCGCAGACTCGCAGTTAATGTAAGCTTGTACTCCATATGAGACGAAAATGACCTACATTGGTCTTTTGCACAGGTGAAAAGGAGGGTTAATTAACGGTGTCGTGGTGTAGTTGGTTATCACGTCAGTCTAACACACTGAAGGTCTCCGGTTCGAGTCCGGCCGACGCCAATCTTTTAATCCTATTTTTTCTAGTTTCCATCAAAAAAACAGAAAAGGAAGGGAAGGGGAGTGTTTGGCCACCGGGATAATTTCTCAGGTGAATGCCGTGTCACTTCTTCGTCCCACATAAAATCGCAACTACACATGGAGAATATCTCATCTTCATATATAGTATTATGCATAGGGAGAGATCTGGAGCCTCTTACATAGCCTCATCCCACCTATAGAGATGTAAATTGGTAGGTGGGATATATCAAAATTTCATATAAAATAAAATTTTAAGATTTTTTTAAATTTTGCCTATTTTGACATTTTGTTAGTTTATAATAAAATTTTCATTATTTTTTCAATTCTTAAAAAAAAACACGGCTTAACCCGATCCATGACCCGGCCTGGTCCAAGCTCGACCCATGGCATGGCACAGTCCCACACAGGCTCAGAACATGGGCTATGCTGGGCTGACCCCCCAAAGCATCCCAAAGATGGAAGCACAGCCCGACTCAGCGCAATTTACACCTCTACCATCCCACCATGTATTGGGAGCATCTCCCCATTACACAGTGGGATCATCAACCTTCTTGTGTTTTCAGCTAGAAAATACAAGGGTTTTGATTTCGGCCAGATATTATGTCTCCACAGTTGAGACTTGAGAGTCTTGATTTAGTATAAATAGAATTGCTGAAGGAAAAAAAAAAAACTGAATTATTAAAGTGATAGCAATGCTATAAAATATATAATTTTAAAAAATGATTCAAAATCAATGGTGGGTAAGTGGTTCGGGTCAAATGAATTAATTAACAGCATTATAAATGGAATACAAAAAAAGAAAAAAAGAAAAAATCAAGCAACCGACCAGGTAGTGGGTTGTTGACTTGACTCAGTTCATATTTCTTTGTCTGCAAACATTATCAGCATATGGAATATGGGATGAATTGGGATATCTAAAGAGAAAAATGCTACCACAATCAAAAATAACTTGGATGGCTTTGATCCATGGGATGCATTGCAAATGATCACTTATGTATCAACGGAACAGGTTGATAGCACCAATACTGATTTGGAAAAAGCATTTGGAAGCACAAATAATTATCCTTTCGGAAAGATAACCATTAGAAGGGAATTCAATTCCAATTTAGTGTTCAGGGTATTCTGTTCAATCATCATTGATGTGGGAGATAGCAAACATGACAAACCTCTAAGGGTCCGTTTGGTTCATAATCAGAATTGGAATTAAAATCCTTTAGAATAGGAATTAGAATGGTCCATTTTCATAGTCTGTTTGATTCAAACAGAAATGGGAATAGAAATAAATGTTGGAATACTCTGACATAAAGATCAGCCAGTTGGCATCCCTAATCCTAAACATACAAGTAATGAACATATATAATGTCAACTGGTGTATAACTATTTGTTATACCTTTTTTCATACGATCAGGCAATGTGAGATGAGCCCAACCCACTAACACAATTGATTGATTACATATTTACATGTATGTCATTAAATAGAGGTTCTGATTCCTATATACTATAATGTGAGTGTTTGTTATCGAAGTTTGATGAGTATTCTAATATGTCATTTGTCCTGCATTCACAAAGGTTTATGTAAACGTAATTCCATCATTTCCATGTTTCATTAAAAAAAATTATTCGAAGTATTTAAGCTAATGAAGAAGGTTCATGGTCTAAGATTAACCCAACCCGATCCAAAAGGTCGGGCCAAGGCAGGTTTACGTTTTACCAATCATTTCCGTGTCAGGCAAAAAAGTCACAAGTCACGTCACACCATCATCCATGTTCTGATCTTCCCAAGGCAGTAACTGGTAGGGGGGTTAATTGGACCGAATATATTCCAATCCGAACCAGATCCGTATGATTCCATTACAAATGGGCCAGATCCAATCCAACCTGATGAATACTCTGGATCATTTTAGACCAGTCCAATTCAATGTCTGGACCGTCCAATCTGTTCAAATTAGTTTTAATTTAGATTGATTCCACCCAAACCTAGTCTATTAACATCTATATTCTTTATCTTTCATCAATGGACTTCCATTCCCTCCCAATCTAATATAAAATATAAATGCACCAGGTCCAGTCCAATTCAATAAATACTTTAGACAATTAAGTCTGGACTGTCCCAATTCAATACGTCTTATTGATCCGTCCAATGCATCCAAACCTAAAATCGATCCATTGATACCCAAAGTAACTGGTGACTAGAAGGTTTAAGCGCTTTAGGAGAAACTAGATCAAACATGCCTAGCTGGGGAAGGTGACACAGAAGTAGGTAATCCACTAGTTTTTTTTTTCTTTTTCTTTTTTTTTTTTTTTTTTTGGGGGGGGGGGATTCAGCATGTAAAGATTCAACAATGTTAACTAGATTCATATGATTAACTAAAACTATACATACATGGTTCCGTCTAACACAGAAAGCAAAAACTATGCATAAAAAATTCCTTGGGAAAAGCTATAAATAAAAATGACTCGGCATGTATTAATCATCGGTTGATCCAAGAACCTGCTCCTTAAGCTCTTCAATTTTTTCTGACAACTCGTTTCTATTTTTCTACAAGAAGTGGGAAGCATAAGTCAGTAAGTGCAGCTCTGTATAACAGTATTATCTGTTGAGAGAAAAATCTTTACAAATGCAATAGACTACCTTAAAGATCAAATAGCGGGTAGTAAACCAGATTGTGTAAGCAATACCAACAACTTCCATCACCTTCGAGAACTGTTTCACAAAATAATAGTAACTTAGTAATCTCAGCCAAGGACAAGGCACTTAGATGGAATATGGTCATTCCAGGCTTTCCAGCTGAAAAAGTAGAAATACCAACCAGAGGAATCGAATCAAAGGCACCAACAAGAACTGATGCCAACCACACAGCTACCAACGCACCACCTCCATACAAGAGGATTGGATATGCATCTTCTAAGTCCAGCTGCAAATAATTATTAAGTTTTAAGTAACTAAAGTTGCCAGTACATTGAATTTCTAAAGCAGGAAAATATGCAAACAAGAAATGGAAAGACATTCCTCAGCTATAGTGCTAGTGGTAAACTGGTAACTGTAAAATCTCTTCAGATTGCACTTGTAATTCACTTCATTTTTAATTTATAACCATCATGTACCACAAAAGGTTATGGCTTACAAATGAATAAAAAACTTAACAGTTAAAAATTAATGTTCATGCATTCGAATTGGAAATGAAAATAAAACCTCTGTATGACGATACAATCCAATCTACATAGTTAATCCAATATTATGAAATGTCAAATTATAGTAAAACAAGGGAGCCCAAGTAAGAGGAAACAGGATACATATAGTGGATCTTTTGCAGCTAAACAATATTTTTTTCTGGAAAATGTTAAAGTATATTTAATTAATATAAATCAAAAGCCCATGTACAAAAAGTTTGTGTACAATGAGATGTACAAGTATTTGGTATTCTATCTATATGTATCTGTATACCAATTTTCAAAAACCAAAACCAAACTATGTGCCGATCCAAAATTTTCTTAGTGAGCCAAGCTCCAGGATGTTGAAGTCCCCATTATTTTAGATGGCAACTCCTCCTCACTCCCAATCAAGTTCGAGAATATACAGGTGTTTCTCTTCTTCCATATTTTCCAAACCACAGCAGCTGGTATGCAATTCCAGAAAGTGCCTCACAATCTTAACAAGGCTAAACTGCTGAAGAATCCTGCCCACACTGATCCAGCCACCTTACAATACATAAAAAGGTGATCTCAGTTTATTTTTCCAGCCCACACATAACACAAATCAGAATCAATAAGAATTCCTCTTCTAATCAGACTGTCCCTAGTGAGGCATTCTTAGCACTGCAGTCCACACCAGGAATGATACCTTAGAGGGTATCGTGAGATATCCAAACTCTGCTGCTGGGGAATTCAATGACGCAACCTTCTAAAAAAGTGTTGGTGGAAAATAATCCTTAACTTGCCCCATCACCATGTTCTATTGTCATGACTTAATAGATCAAGTTGCACTTTGATGAGGGCGGATTTGGCCCTCCAGTGACATTGTGACACGTGGCATCTCGGAACTGGGTGACACCCAGAACCACTTAGGCAACAACTTACGTTAGCCAAGATGATGGCGAACTGGCAACCTGGCACAGGCGTCGAACTGGCGACCTGGCACAGGCGCCGACCTAGCGACTTGGCACAGGCGCCGAACTGGCGACCTCTACCACAATTCAGGTCGGCAAGAAGCACCTCATCTAGGGCCGACCTGCAGCACCTCATCACTAGCTGAAGTGACCTCGACGCAAGGAGCGACATCCCTCAAGGGCGTGCCGGCCTGATTGAGGTCCAGGGGGCGACCTGCGAGACGTGCTCGCCGACAAATTCGGCATGACTATCCCAACACTCCCACGGTCCTTGGAAGTTGGCCCATGTACCGAACGTCCTGGAGGGTGGTAAACATGCATGGCGGTTACCTCCGGGAATCTTGGACCACTTAGACGACCTCTCAGAAATCTCGGATGTGGTGCGTGAAGCCCACGCTAAACAATGCTTATATAAAGGCACCAACCCCAGTGACATAGGGGGGGGCAAGTAAGCATATTCTAGCTCTCATACTTTATGATTTTTAGCTCACAGTCTACTATGGGAGAACTGACTTAAGCATTGGAGCGCCTCGCCGAGTTAGCCACCCCGAGTCCTCTGACATTGATTCCTTGCAGGTCTCTAAAGAACTACGAAGCTTAACAATCAATCCAGCTCGGCCCTCTGGTCAGCTTGGCACCTAATATGCAGCTCGACCCTCCAGTCAGCTCGGCACCTAACCTGCCCCCAATTCGGTCTATTCAGCTAGACACCTAGTCCACTCCCAGCTCGGCCTGGTCAGCTCGGCATCCAGGTCCTCACCCAGCAAAATTCTCCACTTCGGCCTCTGAAACATTGGCCACTTGGAAGCAGACCGAATGACGAGGTACTTAGCGCAAAAAATTGATACATCAATTGGCGCCGTCTGTGGGAAACGCTACAAAAAGCTAAGTTCTCATCTTCTGAAAGGCTAAGTCTTCTTCTTCCAGAAAGCTAAGTTCTCACCTTTTAGAAACTAAAGCCCTCACTTTCTAGTTTCCATTTTTTATGAACTCAAAGACTAAGTAGGAAGTTGATGGCCAACAGACTAAGCAGCTCTGCCGACTTTACTTCAACTCGGATAAAAGCTCATCAGTCCTCTTCGCGAGGTACCCTCTACAAAATGAGCTCTTCGTGGCTTCCGCGGGAGTTGGCGGCCAACGGACTGCATGGACGCCCCTGCCAGTCGAGCCTTCCAAGGCTCCCGTGCAAGTTGGTGACCTAAAGTCAGTAGTGCTGCCCCCATAGGTCGAGCTCCCAGTAGCTTCTTGTAGGAGTGAGTGACCGGCATCACTAACGAGGCTGATGCAGCGCAGCCGTAGCTCTAAGGTGTCGAGCTGATAAAAGACCTCGGCACCACATAAGACCCAGTCGCCTAGCATGGGCAAAATCAAGGGTAAGGAGAGTGGACTGCGAGTCACTCCCAGAGCCTAAGGGCTAAGGTGCCGAGTTGATAAAAAGACCTCGACACCACATAAGACCCAGTCGCCTCTTCAGCATGGGCAAAATCAACGAGAGTGGACTGCGAGTCGCTACCAGAGCCTAAGGGCTAAGGTGTCGAGCTGGTAAAAGACTCAGTCGCCTCTTCGACATGGGCAAAATCAAGGGAAAGGAGAGTGGACTGCGAGTCGCTCCCAAAGCCTAAGGGCTAAGGTGCCGAGCTGATAAAAGACCTCGGCACCACATGACACCCAGCCGCTTCTTTTGCATGGGCGAAATATAAAGCAGTTCGTATTCAGCACGAGAAAACAAAGGAAAGACTAGTTCGCTCTCAGCACCATGATGGATGCAAACTTGATTTCTTCACAGCCGACCTCCACCTCGGTTGCAAGCTCCGCATCAAACTCACTAGCTAGGGCCAGCTCGAAGGAACGCTGCGTCGAAGTCTACCTAGGTGGAGCGACCTGATAAAGTAGTCACACAGAACCCCCTCTTAAGAACGGCATGATGAGCTTCACTCTTGAGGTAGTTAGCTGGATCAAAGAACCTCTTGATGGTCACATCCCTAATAAGGTAGATGTCCTCGGGGTACCTACTCTACCTCTCCTCGAGTAGATGAATTCGCTCTCGTGCCCCGAAAATAAAGATGGAGAGGTCCTGCACAAGGTTGCAAACACTTGGACTCTTCCAACCTGAGAAGCAAATTGGATCGACGCTTACGAGCTCATCGAATTAGTCATTCCAGGCCAAAAGGAGCAATCTACTCCCTTCGCCGAGTTACTTTCAGCTCGGGAGTGGGGGGCAATTGATGAGGGCGGATTTGGCCCTCTAGTGACATTGTGACACATGGCATCTTGGAACAACTGGGTGACACCCAGAACCACTTAGGCAACAACTTACCTTAGCCAAGATGATGGCGAACTGGCGACCTGGCGACCTCGACCACAATTCAAGTCGGCAAGAAGCACCTCGTCCAGGGCCGACCTGCAACACCTCATCACTAGTTGAAGTGACCTCGACGCAAGGAGCGACCTCCCTTGAGGGCGTGCCGGTCTGATTGAGGTCTAGGTGGCAACCTGCGAGACGTGCTCGCCGACAAATTCGGCATGCCTATCCCAACACTCCCACGGTCCTTGGAAGTTGGCCCACGTACCTAACGTCCCGGAGGGTGGTCAACGTGCATGGCGGTTGCCTCCGGGAATCTCAGACCACTTAGACGACCTCTCGAAAATCTAGGATGCGGTGCGTGAAGCCCACGCTAAACAATGCCTATATAAAGGCACCAACCCCAGTGACATGGGGGGGGGGCAAGTAAGCATATTCTAGCTCTTATACTTTATGATTTTTAGCTCGCAATCTACTATGGGAGTACTGACTTAAGCATCGGAGCGACCTCGCTGGGTTTGCCACCCCGGGTCTCTGACATTGATTCCTTCTAGGTCTCTAAAGAACTACGAAGCTCAACAATCAATCCAGCTCGGCCCTCTGGTCAGCTCGGCACCTAATATGCAGCTCGGCCCTCCAGTCAGCTCGGCACCTAACCTGTCCCTAGCTTGGTCTGGTCAGCTCGGCACCTAGTCCACTCCCAGCTTGGCCTGGTCAGCTCGGCATCCAGGTCCTCACCCAGCAAAATTCTCCACTTCGGCCTCTGAGACATTGGCCACTTGGAAGCAGACCGAATGACGAGGTACTTAGCGTAAAAAATTGATACATCACACTCTTCTCAATGAGTCCAGCAATTCTGTCAAATTTTCAATCTCCCAATCATTCAGCTTCAGGTTCATCCTCAAGCAGGGACACTAGACCACTTGTCCACTATGCCTTTTAAAATATTCGACCACTGTGGCATCCCTGTTGCCAGCCACCAAATACAGCTCTGTAAACTCCTTTTTTTCAATTCTTTTGATGAATAACAGAAAATAACTTCACTAGTGTGTGCTTGTCTTACATTGTCAATCCCAATCCCAAATAAAGGAGGGGGTTGCATAAGGTTGGCACCCGGCAGTAAAACTTGACAAAACTCTCATGACATGAATAACAGAAAGTATTTCATTGAAAGAAGCCACCATACTGCTCAAAAAGATGGACAGTAGGCAACGGTGTACATCTCAGCTCTCCAATTAAGGAGATTCAACACAGAATAAGAAGAAAGAAGAAAACAGAAAACAGACGAGACAGCATATAACTATTAATGGATGGTTGCTGCACCATACGTCCCTTCAAAACCTCACTCTGCCACCATCCCCTACCCTACCCTGTACTTTATCCCTTTACTAAATTCACGGTGGTTCTTCTCAATGTCCCTTCAAATAGAGCAGCCAATAGGAACCACTTGCTTCTCCTGGGACATACCCAAAATTTCTCAATCCATATTTTGCCATTATAACCTGCCTCCACAAACTTCAATTTTTAAAATTAAACACCCAACACCACTTACCACATACCTCCAGTGCAGAACAAGATTTTTTAAAGCAATCTTTTAGCAACTAACATGATTTTATTGAGTTACAACAATATAAATATAATAGAGAAGAGATTTCTCTAGCTCGAAACAAGGCCAATATGCCAAGAAGTAGGCTAACATTCATGTAAGAAATCCAAGCAATGGTAGTATCAAAAGAATCACCTTTTGTTTGGTGATTCCCCCATTCCCCCATACAGGGGAATCCCATTCCACCAAGAATGGGAATCGGAATCCATTCCGACCAAACAAATGGCTGGAATCAGATTGGGGTGATATGTACATCCCAACAGATAGTATAGCCAAGCTAGCCTAATGCTGCTCCCCCTAACTCTTAATATACTCAAACACTTTTTGTTAAGGACACAGAGAGCCACCACAGCATTAAGAACTGCAATAAAAGATAAACGAAAAATAACACATTTCCCAGTGCACATACATAGATGGCAACCATACAGTCATCATTTAACCACACTACCAGTGCAAAAGTTATATCATGGATGTGAAACGGAATAGCTAAATTTGATAGCTGTTTTACTGGCTGTTGGACCAATCATTTTGTTCCATGCCAACCATAAAGTGCATGTGACCTGCAACAATTCAATCTCTCACTTGCATTTATGGCTGGCATGGAATAAAATGATTGGTCCCACACTCCCATAGCTACAAAAACAGCTACCAAATTTGGCTAACAATCTCATATGGGGGTCTAGATATTTGTACACATGGGTACAATGGATATTGCTGTTACTTCCAAAGGCAGAATAACATTATAAAACTAACCATGTGTACAAAAGATTGCAGTGGTTCATCCATAGGTGCTTCGTAGAGTGCATTTTGTTCATTTTTCAGGATTATTGGAGTTTCTTCAACAATTGTTACTCCATCAGATGCTTCTTTGAGTTGTTCATTCACACTTGTTGAAGTCTCTTCAGAAGTGGTTGCTCTCAGAAAAGGGGTAGCAAAATAATGCAAACCTAAAAGAAACAATAAAAAGTCACAATTAGCAGAATATTACTTACAAACACATTATCTACCTGTCTTTTAGAATGACATGCTGCGGTTGTTTTGTTACATGCAGGCATCTTGGGTTTGAGAGCAATGTAAATTGTATAGAAACATTCTATTTAAATATAACTAAGAAGATCTTGCAGGCAGAAGATAGTTCACAAAATAGGTGAATAAGTGATAAACCAATAAACAATGGTAGATACACTAGAACGACAAAAATTCCCATAACTATTAGAAGACTAAAGCTGCCCTAGTATGCATAATACCCCATCCCCAATGCAAGCACAAACACACACAAAAAAATACAGAAACAAGAAATGACTGACTTTGCTAGATCATTCACTTCCTCATTATCCCATAGTTCATGAATGAATGCCTCAATTTTGGTTTTGTTGGAAGTTTAAATTGTTATATCTGCTTCTACCTCACACTTGGTACTGTTATATTCAGGAATAAGTTGGTTAGAAAGATGTATGGTTGTTTATCCCATTTTGTTACTTAAGCAGGGAGTATTTTATAATCTTTTACCATTTTAAAAGTTCAATATAAATAGAGGTCAATCAATTGGGGTAGTAGATTTTTCTCTCCAATCGGCAGTCCACCCCTTTCTCTACTTATATGACTGACTGGCCGCTTTCTAGTCTCTCCACTTTTTTTATCAATATTCTCTCCTTCTCTTTTTCCTCTGTGCTTCTTCCTCTTTTGCTCATAAAACCGGACCTTGTTCAAGTAACACCAAAAAAATCATTCCACTATTTAGAAAATTAGTGGTTCATGTGACTTGGACACAATCTGACATAGCTATGGCCAGAATATGGACAACATGTGGGTTTATCTTTCTATATAGGTCTTATTTTTTTATAATTTGAGTTTCTAAACAGTATTTTTAGTTTTAATATTTAATATGATATGACCCAGTTCTAAAAATGATATTATTTTTAGAAACTATTTCTGAAACACTTATAGTTATCCATCAAAAAGTATTATTTTTAGAGATTTGTGTTAAAGTTACCTGATCTTGTCTTCACCTTTTATTTTTATGATTTTTTATTTTTACCAAAATAAATATTTCAAAGTTGTAATGGATTTTAGAATGTTGTTTTTTTATATTGTAATGTCCGTTTACCAGAACAGGTGATGGCAAAAGTACCACTACCCATTGCCAATTGGTCATCCCACCAACAGAGCATCAACTCCAATTCTGAGCAGTAGCCTATAAATTTGTACAGAAATGATACTGAAACTTCAACAAATGGATATAGACCAATTTTTTTATTACTTTTTTTTTTTTTTGCATTCGGGGGCACACAAACTTGTTAAGGGAACAAAAAATTAATCTAAATCAATGTACCATTTTCTTAAGGCTGTATTTGGAGTCAGGATTCATAATTTTCTTTTTTCTTCTTTTCTTTTTTTTATTTTATCATATTTTTTTTTTTTTTTTTTTTTTTTTTGGGGGGGGGGGGGTGTTTGTTAGGGTGTGCACTGGGTCACTAGGAGAATATGTGTTCTCTAGAGATGTAACTGAAACCAACCGCATGGGGAAACAGTATGCAGCTACCCTAAAACCTAAAGAAACTCCAAAAATCCAAAAGTTATGCAGCAATGAAGAGAAAAGTCGACCACAATTGGAGATTAATGGAAATAGATAACACACAATATCCTTAAGTTTTCCATTCAACAATATTCTTTAGTAGGTACGGCATTATACAATTATCCTTAAACACCAGATTGATTTCACATAACAGCCTCCATGGAAATAAAATCAGTTGATTAGCTAACATTATCTTGTTCCTTTTCACATAACAGCCTCCACCATGACAAACCATTGAAGAAAAAAATTGAAAAGAACAGATGGATAAGGAGTAAATTAGGAGCATTATATTGTATGGGGGCAAAACCTTAATAATTAATCAAATGCACATGTTGCAAAAGAAAAAACACCCTAGGTATCGTTTGTTACCATCATAAACAGTGTTTTGTTGTCTTTTCACTAGGGTTTTCTTGGTTTATCAGAATGGGATTTGCTCAAATCAAACCTCCAAAAAGAAAGAGAAGGATGAAGCACAAATCATACCATAATTACTAGGCCAGTGGTCATTTTAAGAAGTATACAGACTGTGAAGATTCAAGATTAACTTCAATAACTATTCATTCTAAATTGTCAGCTTACAAGATTCCTTGCTCGCATCTCTATACTTCTTAAAATCACCACTTCTACAAAAATTGAAATTCAATTAACTTAGGAACATTCTCAACAATCTCCTTTTTTTATGGGTGGCATAGGCATCCTTAATTTCTTTCAGTAGTTTGTATAGAAGATATTTGGAAATGTTGTTTAAATCCATTACTTGAAGATAGAAACTTCTATATGAAATTTGATCTTCTCTTACCATGTATTTCTTTTGAGTTCTGCACATAGATCAGAAAATCAATGCCATATAAACTGGACCACAGATTTGAGCTTTAATAGAGATTTCTTAAGCAATACCATAAATGTCTTGCAACTATTATGTTCTCGTTACCTTGTGTACTAGAAAAAAGGCCATATCTCTATCTAAAACTTAACATCATAATTAATAAATCATATTATTGTCTTCCACATACATATATATTAACTATGTAACTAGACTCCAGTATAGGAATTTCAGCAAATAGGTCAGACTTAGATATTTTGACATCATAGTACAGTATAAAAGTCTACAACCATTGTTGCAGTAAAAAGATCATGCAAGTACTGGCACCTTGTGGTAGATCAAAAAAAGATAATAGCATAAATCAAATAATGATTTATATAGTGTGAAGTTCAAATATTCAAGGAAACAAACTAATTAATGCCTCAGAGAAGGAGCATATTCGAGGGACAAAATGCTATGAAGAGATAGTATCAACTGCACCATTCTTTATACGTTTCAAACAAAGGATATAGATGCTAGCCTCAAATGAACTTTGACAAAATAACGAATTGACCCTCACGTGAAAAACCCAAGGCTTAAAAAAAAAACGAATCCTAGAATAAAAAGTTATTCAAAATCAATGCAGAAGTCTGATGCTCAATCCGTTAATATATTCTTCATTAGGCATTTATCCAAGACTTCGACTACAGAAGTCTGATGTTGCAAATCATTGTTTAAATCATTCTAGGGTCTTGAAACTGCTTTTTTTCGTAAACGATAGCAACAAATATCCAATAGCAGATAACAGATAGTCCTGAATAGGAAGAGCAATGATAGAAGACGTCAAGCAAATACAGACGAATAGATCATATTAATCAAAACAAGAAACTCCACATGCAGAGCTGATATCGGCATTTAGAGAGATGGTTTATTTGTTTTTTCAGGAAAGAAGCCTAGGGTTTTGATTTATAGTGGAAAGTAAAGAGTAGAAAGATGGCAGAAATGGGGAAATGTACCTGGATTCTTGTGAGAGATTGTGTTGCGTTTGAGAGGGAGAGATGTCGTCGAGCGAAGGAGAACGCAGTTCGGCCTAAAGAGTTTGGGATGAGAAAAATTTGAGGTGGCGAGAGAAGTACAGAGTTCCATTTTGAAGCGGTTGCTACAAAATTAAACGAGGCTGAACTGTTTCGGGTTTGCTCTAAGCTCTACAGGCTACTGCCTACACTGCCGAATTGATTAGCAATTTAGCATTATTGTCTCCAAACTCTCCACTCTCAAGTTCGACTTCAATACACGTGTTTTGATCTACGGACGTACGGTCTCTAAGGATGCAAACGCATCTCAATGTTTTAAAAAGGGAAAATTTCTTCTACCCTTGATGGTTTAGCTGATTGAATCATTTTTTGGATAAATTTTTTAAACTATCCTTATAATTTAATTAATTGAATAAATGTATTTTTACTGTTTTAAAATTGATTAATACTATTCTTACTGAAATATGAAAAAGATTATTTTACTATCCTTACAATTAATTAATTCTTCTTATTCATTAACGTGCATCAACGGAAATATGAAAAAGATTATTTTACTCGATTACTCGATTACTCGATTACTCGATTTCCTCTCTCCCTCTCATCCTCTTCGTCGGAACTACCAAAACCGCCGGAACTGTAGATCGGATAACAATAAGACTCCTTCATTTACGGCCAGAATTGTACATCTCTCAGAACCGTCGGAACTGCCGCTCTTCTCTGGAACTGCAGAGGTTGGCGCCCCTCTTGTTGTCTTTGAAACCGCTACAACCGCCGTTCTTCTTAGGCACATTACCAGAACCAAACTGCCACCGGCAGTGCTCCGCCATCGGTGCTAAGTATACAGCATCGATTTGAGTATACAGCACCGGCAACTTTCTGGCGTTCTCTAGCGTCGCTCCAGCCTCATCTTCGTCCCCTTTCGACGGCCATCCTGTCTCAGATATCTGCACCCGAAGTGATGAACACCAGCTTCCTAGATCACTCAACGAAACGACCACAATAGCGAAAACAGGGGCGACGATCCATGGGTTTTCACTTCGGAAAGCTGTATTCACGCCGGCAGCCGTTATTTACAAGCTGTAGCTTGCTTCTTCAACTTTGCGAGCTCCTACCTAATCAAACCACCTATCTTGATCTTTGCGAGCATGAGCTTAAACCTTTTAAAGTCATTCAAGCAGGCTCTTCGCTTTTGCACAATCAACTACCTTCCCTAGCGAGAAGGTAGGGTGGTGGAGAGGGGGAAGAGAGAGAGAGAGGAGAGGGATGTGAGTTTTGTTGTTTCTAGAAGCTTTGTGGTAGATTAAATTATGAGGGGATAATAAGCGGTAGAAAGAAAAGGAAGGAAAAGGGGCGCCCACATCCTATAAAACAGGGACCCATGAAGCTTCATCGTGGATTAAATTCTAGGGGTAAATGACAAACAACTCTCTGTTCGATCCAGTTTGGATTTTGGCCAAACTCAATGCGTCCCTGATCGCTCAATGAACTCAGAGAGGTTTGCGGCTCCTGGAAAAGAGTCCAAAATCCGAGACCTTT